TCACTGGTCTTGGCCGTGAGCGGAAAATGAACCCGGATCACCAGGTTCGTAGCGCAGCGAGCTAACCACTACACTACCGCTTCCCACACGCAACACGCATACACACGTACGCACGCACACACACGTATATGCACGTACACGCATGTACACACGCACACACGTACACACTCTGCCCAGTCGTGCTACTCACGGACCTGCGGCTCCGTGGTGTAAGGTCGTGCGTCGGCGCTGCAATAACCGGATTGGACGGCAATTAGACAGGACGGCAGGGTTCATGCGCCGTCCCGCTGATGGACAGAAGATGACTTATTTGATTGGGGGACGTGGCAGATCGATATTTTTTTTTGGCGGGGGCGTGTGCAACAACCCTCTTCTTATCCAGGGCAGGTCATTCAATCTTCCTGCTAAATTACCTCGCCCAATGCGATAAGGAACTGTGTTTCATGTGTGTAAACACACGTGTGTGCACACACACGTGTGGGGAGCGGTAGCGTCGTGGTTAATGCGCGCTGCGCTCCGAACCCGGCGACCCAAGTTCGATTCCCGCTCACGTCCAATGCCAGTGACGATTTTCTTGTTGGTGTCCTTCCCCCGCACCTTTCATTAGCAAGTTGGCTACGTACGGTGCGAAAGAAGTTCAACGTACACACGTACATCTGAATGAAGTGGGAGATTGGTGCTGACCAGGACTGGTTCACATGTCATTCACGACTTCATGACGTTAGCCTTGGCTGGGATTCGAATTCGGGTCGCCCGGTTCGTAGTGCGGTTTGCCGAAGAGTGAGCCGCCACTTCAACGCGTTAACAAGGAGGATAAGGATTTGCATGCTATTAAGCGCTTAATTGCCGCAACAGCATCTCGAGCACTCTGCAACGCAAATCGGAGATGGAAAAACAAACCCCGGGACACGGGGAAACATTTGGAGAAGGATAGACAAAGAGCAACTAATCAAAGAGCGTTTTGCCAACGGAGCCGCGATGAAACCGCGCACGCACGCTACGTGCACAGCGTGCACACGGCCAATCTTGCAACAGGCAAAGCTGCATCCCTGCAATTGCTGGCTCACGCCAACGCTGACGGAAGGGCGTCCACTAGGGGCAGCCCCCCCCCCCCGACAAACCCCCTCTGTCCAGATGGTGTATTTGGACTACTCTTCCACGCTGACCAGCTCGTATTGGAAAAGGTGGGAGTACCCACGCTTTACGCCACCACGACACGCGACTATTCCGGTAGACTCGCTGTGATGTCGTTCATTTTCACACTGCTGGGTGGACAGGGGCCAACCGGGTTTTAATAAACTTGCGTCTCACCTGCCGCGCCGGGAGATCCAACCGGTGGCCTCTGCATTGCCAGTCCACGCTCTGCCATCTGCATAAGTTCATTCCACACGACCCGATTGAAACGGCCGCAGACTTTTTCCGAATTTTTTAAGATGCTTTTGCGATGGCGGGCGGAGGAGTAATGCGAGCGGCGAGCGGGGATCCATCGCTAAACCCCGCATTGACCGGATACGCAATCCCACCCCGCCCCCCCCCCCACTCACCAGCAACGGAGCGTGCATGTGTGCCACTCTCAGCCGATAAGGCAGCCAGCGGGGACCCCGCTCCCACCGTGCCCCCCCCCCCCCCGATCCATCCTCACGCTCCCCTCTACCCCCCCCCTGCCGCCCATCCCAACCGGTCCCCCACACAACCTTCCCTACAATCAGCACCCCCCCCCCCCGCATCAATTCAACAGCCACCTGCCCTCTCCAACCCCTGCCACAGCCTCCACTCTACCTCCCCCCCCCCCCCCTGGGCTTTCATTGACCGGCTATTGTGTCAAGGCTGACCTTTCGGCAAACGTGCAAATCCGAGTGGGGGGGTGGGGGGGGGTTGGAAGCCTGCAAAAGGGGACGGCTAATCAACGTGCTCCCCCCGCCCGTCCCATTACACGATGTCCGCTCGGCGTCGCGAGCGCAAGGCGTGGTTAATTCACGCTGCCACGGATTCATACACGAGCGTGTTTGTGCGTGGGTGGGTAGGTGTGTGCGTGCGTGCGCGTTTGTATGAGGTCGCAGGGCAGCGGTGCTGGTGTCTGGTGGCCTCACACCGCAGCACCGGACTGCTGGCTCATCGCGATTCAATCCTCGGTCGCGATGCCGCGACGGGCCGGTGGTGTGTGTTGTTTTTTTCTGTGCCGTATTCTGGGTTTCCCATGAGTTTCTTGTTTGTTTGTTTGTTTTTCTTGCCTTGGATTGGATATTTGGGGTTTATTTATTTGAGTAGAGGGTGTTTAAGAAATCAGCGCGCCTTATAAAAATGTATGATCGTAAACATTATACTTGCCTCTTTTAAAAAAAAATTCCACTCAAGACCAAAAGCACCCTCTATTTTATTATAATAACGGGCGGTGGTGGCTATGCACCCGCCCATAATCCGGCGCTGTGAAGGCGAGGGTTGGTGGATCGCAAGACTGTGGGCACAACTCCCTTCCTGTAGGGCTTCCAGGAGGTGCCGTACCCTGGCTCGCCAGGCGAAGGCGGTGCAGCAAATCGCGGACGAATATCATCCCTCCCTTCTGTAAGGTGGAGAGCATTGCTCCCTGCCCCACCCCCCGCCATTCACACGCAAAGGTTTCCCTCCGGGCGCTCCGGTTTCCTCCCAACGTGTAAACACTCATCAATTGGCTGAAAACATCTTAGCACATATGTGGAGGACTGTAGAGCTTGGGCACTGATTAGGAACTGGTCGCCGCCTGGCTGCCTCTCAGCGTGTCCGTTGCTTCCTCAGCGATTGCGAGATGCAATCTTATGAACGGCGCCACGATGTGAAAACACGGGCAACCCGCAGCCACGCACAATCCTGGCCCCCTCACCCCCCCCTAACCCCTCCCCCCACGCCCCCCTACCCCCCTACCCCCTCCCCCCGCCGCGTGTGTCGTGCCAGTCTTGATAGACGCTCGCTGGCAGCAACTCTCCCCGGCAGTCTGCAAAGCTAAATGGGAGTGCCTGTGTGTGTGTGTGTGTTGAGTGTGGGGAGAGGTAGCGCAGCTGTTAGCGCGTTTTGCTCGACGAACCCGGCCACCCGAATTTTTCGATTACCAACTCACGGCCAACGCCTGTGACGATTATCTGAACTGGTCCTGGGCCTCCCCTAGGTCGACTCGGCCCCCTGGTGAGATGTGTAAATATCGCCGCTTGGGAGACTCAGGCGGCCGGGTGTGGTGCTGGCCACCCATCCCCTCGCGTGCCTTGCTGGCCTTCATTGGTGCTCGCTAACAGCACTTGCCCCAACATTCTGTTGAGGCTGTGTGTTGAGTGTCACCTTTGCTACTGCGTCTGTTGTGGTTCTTGAGTGGCGGGAACAGGAGATGGCAATTTGTTTTACCGTGAGAACCACTGCATGACCGAGTCTCAGGCAATGATAAAAAAAAACCTCTCCATCCACAAAGATAGATGAGTGTCAGGGGGGGTAGGATGAGTGAAAGGTGTGCGACGGTGGCAAGATGTCAACTGCCTCTCCTGGTATGCAGGAGGGAGCGTGGGTTCGACCCCGACCATGACGCCTGCATATTTGGGGTGTCTCTTTCCCCGTGGTCGCGTGGATTTCTCTCCAGGTCCTCCGGTTTTTCCCTCCACATTTAGAAACGTGCGTGCGGAGTATTTAGCCGCTATAAATTTCCACGCTATGAGCCACTTCGTTGGGCTGTCATTTGTGGGCAGGTCGCTTCTGAAAAAGAGCTATATAGCTCAACGGGCCTTACCTGCTAAAATAAAATATAGTTTGGCTAAGTTTTAGAATCTCAGCTTCTCGGGTTCTGCCAGGAGGAATCTTTTGACTTGGTGCAACAGACGTAATGAATGAAGAGAAACACGCACGTGAGAAAGGTATAAGTAAAGGCGCTGTCCTGCAATTGCTTGCTCATGCCACTGCTGGCAGAAGGGCCTCCGCGCAAGGGAGCTCACGGGGTAACACCTCTCGATGATGCCGCGGACAACCCTGATCTCGTCAAGGTACATAAACCATCATCACGCAAACTCCGGTGGTCATCCCCGCTAGCTGTGGCTTTTGGCTAACAGATGATCACCGCATCGCGCGGCCGTCTGGAACGCTCTTCCTTCCGATATTAGGATGCCACTGGAGCTACGGCACTTTTAAATCATCATGTAGATTGAAAACGTATTTCTTTAGAACTGATTTTTGTGTTGAGTTTGTTGTCCTTCCCCCGCACCACCCGATTAGTACGGTTGGCTACGTACGGGGCGACAAACGTTCTCTGTTCATACGTACAGAGCATTGATTCCTTGCAATAGGTTTATATTTGGTGTTTCAACATCTTACCACCTGATTTATTGGCAAAACGGGTAAAACCTCTTAATATTTTTTCATACTTTGATACTGGCAAAAGAAATCTCAAAAATTTAAAGTACACCCTGTTCAGACGTCTTGAAAATGGGCAGTAGCCACACTTTTACCCCACCACAGGCGATCTGCTGATCGGCTAACAGCAGTGTGCGCGCGTTTACACTGCCGGGTGGACAGGGGTGGGGGGGGGTGGCGATTGAAGAAACTTGCATCGTCGTTTAACCGGGCGACCATCGGGATGATCGCAGGTCCAGTGCACCGAGCGTTCACGCGACGACCGAGCGTTCCTCGTGTGTGCGCGTATAAATGTGCACGCGTGTAATGTATACAAGCAATGTTTCATTGTTTCCTAAAAATCATCCACAGGCATGGCATTTTGATTTCCCCCAATCAATCGCGACGTGGCATCTGCTCATTGCAATCGATAGGGCGCAGGGAATGAATAGGGAATAGTGGTGCTATGATATATTTTTTATCAGTTTGTACGAAGATTGACACTCGTGTACTACAGCCACCCCCCGATGACTCCGCGTGAATAATCGATGGCGTAAGACGGAGAGCGTTTCTCATTTCGTCGCATTGCCGCTGTGATTTAGACCTAACATGCTCTCTCCTTCTCTCCCTCCTTCCCTCCCTGTGTTTCTCGTCCGCAGCTGATCAGAATACACCCGAAGGCAAGGTACGGTTTGCGTCTCTTGTTTGTGCTTTTTTATTTCACTTAGGCTTTTCGGTAATTAAACGAGCGAATGGCCAGCAGAATGCGGCGATGTTCCGCTGAGTGACAGAGGGGCGTGATAATATATGGGAACGAAATGGGCGCGCAAAAGCTAAGCAAGAGCAGGGGGGTGAAGAGGGGAATAGGATTGCGATGCGAAAAATGAATAGGAGCGTTCTCGCTCATTTTTAATCACACGGCAGTTTTGCTTTTCGTTATTAAAAATAAGATCGTGATTCGTTTCTTTTTTTCTTTATTTCTTTTTGCGGCATCTGGAATATGCGGGGGGGGGGGGGGGGAAATCTGCATTTAGATGAAGCTCTTAATTAAATGCGCAGATGTTCGGCTGCGGTATGACATTATTTTTTGTGTTTCTTATTTATTTCTCGTTTGGTACATTATTTACGACCCGCCGGTTCTCTCCAGACTAGCGGCGAAGTGGTCTGCTCACTTCGAAACCGATCGTGCGTGGAGGCAAAGCAAAAAAAAAGTTAAATTCACACAGCACCGTGGCCAGGCCCCATGTGGAATCATTCCCATGGCGATCCCTCCGCTGTCAAAAGTGCATTAAACACCCCCGTGACAGTCGTTGCTGGCTGCCACGAATTCCAAAATAAAAAAAAAAAATCCGCAACTACTTTGGGTTTTTCTAGAATTGGATTGAGACGTTATTCTGGCTCTTGTTGAATATTTTTTTTTATGTTTAACACGTGTGGGCTTTCGCAACTAATGTTAGTGATTGATTTTTGGGGTCAGATCACCGTTAAAGGGGAAAATGGTAAAAACCCTCCTCCACCCGACACGGCCAATGAATAAAGTTGTCGCGTGATGAACAAACGTGCCAATTTATTACCGCTTCAGTAGCACTCACCGGCATTGTCGGAGAGCAATCCACGCACGTTTGACAATTGGTTCCAATATTTTGCCGATAGTTATACAACCAGCATCATCAGGCAGTTGCCAAACATCAATAAACTTTTGCGTCTGATGAGAATACCCACACGCGCCTTATTCTCCGGATTAATTATAAGATGTTCGGGAAAGTTAGACACATGCCATCACCCTGAAACGCTTGTGCCCAGTGTACAAATACAGTTGTCGACCTGGGCTGACTGATTATCCCACAAATGAAGCGTCAAAACATTATCCTGAGGGGGACGAACAACACAAGTGAATTATGAATGTCTCTGGTCCCGATTTAAATATTAATGAAATATGAAAGGTTATACGAAAATAAACGCACGTCAAAATATTGACATCGGCTCTACTTCCCCCCCCCCCCACGTAACGTCCAAGCCAAGTTAAACGGTGACATTTTGACCGCTTGATCCGGGCCGTGAACGCGTTCGCGGTCGAGAGCACGGCGGCATTCGTCTGAAACGTGAAACGCATCGACCGAGTGATGTTAATTGTGCGCATAATGAGGTCTTGATTTTGCACGGAATGTTTTCTCGGGGCTCTCCAACCATTCCAGACCCCACCATCCCCCACCGCGCCCCTCCCCCCTACACCCCACAGCCACCGCCACACCTTTTCCCACGACAGCAGTAGGAGGGAGGGTAAATATTTTCTTGAGCTCAGCCCAGGACAGCTCCGGCTGTAATTTAGCCCGGTATGTAACGACTCGCCTACCCCCCCCCCCACCACTCCCCAGCTACATGATGATCCCGATTTGATTCAAGAACCCTCTTCCTCTCGTTTTAACTGTCTCGTTTGTTATTGTTTCTCCTTTCTTGCATCTCATTTGTATTGTTTTGTTCGCTCCTACAGCCTAAATGCCCTCATTGGCGCATCGTTTAATGTTAATATATTGTAAACATTCTATTCTCGCATGCATGATCCCACTGCATGTATTGAGTAATAACAAATTCAACTACCAAGGGATAATAATCTACAACCCTTCATCAGTCCACTGCTGGATGGAGGCCTGCCCACAGCTTTCGATAGTGGGGGTTGTTTGACCATACTTCACCACGTTGCTCAGTGCAGCTTTGTGAAGGGGGGGCAGGGGGGGCACCCTGGTCTGGTACAGATGTCGATCATCAATGGTGGATAGCCATGGCCGAGAATTCAACTTAGATCCATCGCGCAGTGCGCTAGTCACTACACCACCGTTCCAACCCCATGCATTGATGTGACCCTTATATAATATAACGTGCAATACTTACACAAATTTAAGCCAATCGAACGATTCAAAGTGACCCGTGCGATGGAGGGAACTTCATTTTCACTCGCACGACAAAAGCTGTACCACTCCGTTTGTTGTCCGCTCTGAATTGACTATGGGGCTGAATAGGATCTCCTGATTCCTGCGATTTCCGATCGCGGGTCAATCGCTCTGACGGCGGCGGGCGCCGATGTTCCCTCTCGTCCCGTGAATCCGTGCGCAGCCCGAGGCGACCACGCGTAGGCCCAGCGGGAACACGACCTCCGATTCTCCGTCGCCGCCTCTGCCACCGCACGATCCGTTGCGGCCGGCTCACTGGCCGTCCCGGGAATCTCCCCGGTGGGACATCGTCCGCCGGCCGTCCCGCGACTCGGCCGATCCGGGGAGTCCGTGGTCTCCGGGCGGCCACGGGGGACAGGGCGCACCGGCCGGCACCACGCCCCCCTCGCTGCGGCGCGACGCTGGGGGCCGGGGGTCGGCCTCGGCGTCGCTTCGCGATCGCGGGCGGAGCAGCGGAGAGGGCTCGGTGAGTGTGCCGGGCCCTGCGGCCGCGTTGCCACGCGCGTTGCCTAGCGTCGTTGTGGTGCGTAAACTGGTGGGGAAGCGGCGGTGGGGCGGTTGGTGTGCTGCACAACGAACCCGGCGACCCAAGTTCGGTTCAATGCTGGCCAGAGACGATTATCTGAACCGGTCTATAAGGCTTCCCCTGGGTCAACTCAGCCTTGAATGAGTACCTGGTGCGATGTGCAAACGTCGCCACAATGGAGATAAAGGTGGCCGGGCGTGGTGCCGGCCTTCATAGGTGCTCGCTAACAGCACTTACCCCAAAAGCACATTCTGGCTATATGAGGGATCGTTGTCTTTGTTTTGTCTGAGGGCTTTGCACTGCTGCCCACCCACATTTGATTGTCAGTCATGGACAAAACCAGGCGTGAGTGGTATACGAAACCTCTTTTGATCCTCATCTAGGTCAAAGAAGTTCAACATACGTACATGCAACTCATCCTTAAACGAGTTACTGGTAATGGTGTGCAGGCATCAGCGGTGGCGGAGGCGAAGGGTGTCGGGTGCAGCACTGGCAACACCGAGCCTCTCATTTGCCATGCGCTCACTAACAACACTTGCCCCAGTAGTCCCTATTAGGGGGGGGGGGTGTGGTCCGTGTGGGTTGATTTACATTCACGTGTAACCTTTATGCGCAACCAGGTGAGATCCCGTTGAGAGAACATTGCTTATTGTCCGGGGAGACCCATGAGGTGTGAGGAATACAAAAATGGAGCACACACCGAAACGAGAATCAAATCACGAGCGTGTAGGCGCAGTTCGTATCCGGACTTGATTCGGGATTTTGCGCGTGAGAGGGTGAGTGTGTGAGAGTGAGCGTGAGAGCGGTGGTGTGGCGGTTAGCGCTTTGCGCTGCGTACCTGGAGATCCGGGTTCGAGTCCCGCTCGTGGCCAGCACCAGTGATGATTGTTTGAACCAGTACTTGGCCTCCCCGAGTTCGACTCGGTCTGGTGCGATGTGTATAAACATCGCCACTCGGGAAACAAAGGTGACCGGGCGTGGTGCTGGCCACCCACCCCCTCTTGTGCCGTGTTGACCTTCATAGGTGCTCTCTAACAGCACTCACCCCAACAGTCTGTTAAGGCTATACGGGGAATCTTTGTGAGTTTGACTGCGAGCGTTTGACTGCAAGCGTGACATCATCGGCAATTGTTGGGGTATCTCTAAATGAAGCATCCAGAGGTGGTGGTGGTGATGATGATGACGATGATGATTATCATGTGAAGGATGTGCTTAATGGTGTTGATGATGATCATGGAGTTGATGGATCTAGTGATGACGATGGAAACTATGCCAGTGATATCGATGGAAATCAGGATGTGATGGGTGTGGCGATGGTGATGATGTGGTGTTGATGATGGAAACAATGGCAATGATGGGGCTGATTTGACCCCGGCGAGGGGGATTCTAGCTTCGGGAGCCACGACGCTCTACCCCCCCACCGTTCCCTGGCGAGTGAGAGACCAAAGGAGGACGCAAGAGTGCGTCGAATAGGGGTTCATAAACACGAACAATTTGAGGAAGGGGAGTGGGGGGAAAAAAATCTATTTAAAGATGGAGTGGTTTATGGCTTTCTCAAGGGCATGAATAAAATGCCGCCGTGTACTGGAAATGGTGCGTCAGCCGCGTGACGTGAAGGAGGGGACGCGGAGAAATACAATCGTGTTCCGGTAAATTGCTTACATATCTGGAAGTCTGTTTGGAAATATGGAATTTGGTCACACAAAATTAATATCATTTGCGGAGGGGGTGGGGGGGGGGGGGGGGGGGGGGAGGGGAGGGGCACCTGTGCCACCGGCACAGCGCGCCGCGCGTGGAATTTTAACGCTTTCCAACTTGGGTTCTACTGAGTGTTTGACCCATTAGTGCATTGACTCCCGTCTATCTGTCGTTGGTCTGTAACTATTGGCGGGGGGGGGGTGGGGGTGGGGGCACAGTAACTCCGGGAATATAAATATGCGTATTCTTTGGCTCTTTCGGTAAAGTCACGTAGATAGGTTCCAAAAAAATACGAAGAAACTATGACGTTTCGATCGCAACACAAGCGGTCGTCATCAGGTGGAGAAAAAAGGAGGGGTTAGCCTCTAAGTCAGAATGGAGTGGGCGGTGCACAATATAAATATAGGTTGCTTTTAGCGACTCGCCAGATCGAAGACGAGCGAGATTGATCAAAGGATTGTGAAAAGTGAGGAACAAAAAACACGGCGCTCAAGGCATGCACCTCTCGGGTCAAGGTGCACGCACGCACGCGACTTCCCTCCCCTTCTCGGTGACGTCATTGCGCGCGACGTCATTTCGCAACATCTAGCACGCGGCGCGACGTCACCTTGGCCTGAATCGTTATGTTCGCATCGCCAATTATATGTACCTTGGAGGACAAACCCATGTGCACGTGCACGAGTTTTCTTCCTTGTTTTATCTCCTTCCTGGACCTGTCCCCGCAAACATTTGACACTTAAGCCTTTCCTGTTTGGAGACGTCTGCAAGTTGCAAGGTGGGGGTTCCGTTCGCCGCTGAATCTCGGAACGCGCAAGGGTTTCGCAGCATTAGTAGCGTCATTGTTTTTAAAGACATTGTACTCACCGCAGAGAACCATAGCGACACGACCACACTCTATGATAGCTGGCGTCCAACTGTGCCACACGCCCTCACGCATGGCCTTGTGGGAGCCTCGCTGCGTCTTCCGACGTGAAGACGTAACGATGACGTACGTGTATGCCATGAACGTCATCGGAACGGAATCGGAAGAAAAACTGATGACGTACGCGGACGTACATGTACGTCATCGGAATGGGAAAGGGTTAAACGTGTCAATACTAAATTAATTGGGCAAGAACACCTTAATGGCTTCATATATAAAGGACCACAGAACTTGGGGGTGGTAGAATATGACGGCTCTCGTCTGTGGTTCCTCCTCGCGCCTCTGAGTCGTTCTCTCGCGGCAGCGGCATTCCGAGTTGACGTCATCCTTAGCATCTTCAAACCGCGAATGAAATTAAGGATAAAGATTTGTATTTACATGGCACTTTCTTAAATGCCTCAACAACACAAAGCAACTTTGACCACACCTGATGTCAACCGTTTCGATTACCCCTGCTGCGCCCTGAACCCAGGGGATCCCAGTGGCAGCTGTCCCTGTGCAGAACAATGCGTGTGCTCCGCCAGTCTGCAGTTCGCCTGTAGGCTGCAGCTTGCGATCTCGTGTTGCGTGTTTGATGCGAGCTTTGGATTAATTGAAGCTGGCATCGGTCGGTTTCTTATTTCACCCGGTAATTGTGCAGGGAGTTGACAGAGCTTGCCTTCTGTTGCGACAATAACAATAATGATAATTACTTATTTACCTAGACTGCCGCACGAAGGCCCGAAGGCCTTTAGAACGTGCAAACGCCAGGCAAAAAAGGCACCCGAGTCAGGGACCAAACCCAGGTCCTTCTGGCTGCGAGGAGCAAGCGTGTTACCGCTGCGCGAAAAGTGGACGTTAAAAGGTCAGTGGCATCGTTGCCACGCAAGTCAACATTTGCTCAGTGGGAGGTCGCTCATTCTCCTCTTGCCCCCCAAGGTCTCGAACTCCCTGCCCTGCCACCAGTGCCGTTGGCTCCTACTTGCCCCCTCCGTTCAAATCCACGCTCATGACTAAATCCACGCTCATGACTAATTTTTTTATCCTCCCGATAATTGACCACCTTTGTCTTGAGAAAATAACATAGGCCCATTGTTTATGTACGCCGTCCATGCAGTGCGGTTGCATTTGGAGGCTATTTAAATCCACACCGCAATGACGTGGGGTATCATTAGCACGGCTCTCAACCCACTGCGTGTGCCAAAGTCACAGCTCGGATGAGAAAATTACCCACTAACCAAATTGGAAAAGAAATTAATTACCGGTACCTACACAGCTGCAGTTAAACATGCCTCCTTTGTGCAAGTGAGATAACAAGCTCTCCTTTGGTTAAATAAAAGGGCATTGTAGATGCATCGGCGCACTCCGAGGCTTGTGTGCTAACACCCACCATAAAAAGAGGGGGGAGGGAGTGATGTGTGCTTACAGACGGTTCCACAAATTAGACAATCTCAGTCAACATTGTAATATCATCCTTATACAACACACGTGGTGCAATTGTGAAGGTAAATATGGCTTTTTTACATTTATTTTTGATTATGGAGTAAATCTGTGGTTTGACACACACCGACAAACATTCCCCCCCTCCCAGCCCCCCAATAAGCCTTGTATGTTGAACTTTTTTCGCACCATACGTAGCCAACCGTGCTTTAACAGACTGCTGAGGCAAGTGCTGTCAGCGAGCACCTACCAAGGTCGCCAAGGCAACAATTACTCATTGAAGGCTGAGTCAACCTAAAGGGAGGTCCAGCACACGATTTAGATATCTGTCACTCATTAGTTAGTCATGAGTGAGAATGGAACCAATTTTAGGCTGTCATTGGTGTTGGCCATGCACGAACTCGTGTTCCCGGGTTCGTAGCGCGGCGCGCTAACCACTGCGTCACCGCTCCCCACACGCGTGTCAAAATCCCACCGTGGAGAAGTCGTTTGTCTCGGCACGTCCCCACACAGCGGTATGTTACGAAGCACGTCTCACTTATAAAGAAAGGTGGACAAATTATTATTACGTCTGTCTGTGTTACAGTCCTAATTGGTTGATGTACTATACCCAGCTAAAGGCCACTCTACGATCACACTAATAATAAACCCACTCCTGTTAAGTGTCTGAAATGTTACTGTCTTTAATAAAAACGTTTTTTTTTTTGCTAACGGTGCCTGTCCCCTGTGGTTCCCAGGCCAACCCCCGGCAGGAATCGCCGCGGTAAAACATTTTTTGTTTACGTTTGTTTCAGAGCGAGGAAACAGCGGCGGCAGCGGCAGGGGTGACCCCCGCGATGACCCCTCGTGCTGATGAGGTTGCCTCCCGGGCCCCACTGGGCCCCATCGATGTCGGACACAGTCAGGGTTTCACGACAGCGCAGGTATCCCTCCCCCACTGCCCCTTCCCCCCACCCCCCCACCACTGTCCCCCATCTCCGCATCGTCCGGGGACATTCGCGACGTTCGAGCGTCGTCGTGACAAGTAAATGGGTTCACGGTCTCGGATCACGAACGGCGCCTGCTGTGAGGGTGGAATGCGAGGGTGAGGGCGGGTGGAGTGAGATGGTTAGAGCGATGATTTATGTTCTGTTTATTAAATGTGTGAATAATGGGTCTTCCGTCAAATAGAATTAAAAGTTAAAGGACCGTGTTGGCAGTCGGGCACAAGTACGAATTAAAACGCCGCTCGCCCCATTCATCATTGACACCGCCTCCCAACGGAAAACGTAAATAGAAGGGGTGGACATTTTGGCATGGGAGTGGCCTGGTGGCGCGGTTAGGGCACTGTGCTCTGAAACCGTTCACCTTAATTTTCGATTCCCATCCACGAGTGACATCGGTGGCGAGTAATGTCTGAAACCAGTCCTTGGGCCTCTTTTCGCCGACCTGCAGAGCGATGGATAGCCTCTTAGTTGGCGGCAAAAGGTTCCCGTTGTGAGTTCTTCAGGATACTGGGCTATTTTAAGAAAGATTTCTAATAGGACATGTGGACTACGAAACAAACTGGTTTAATGTCAAAATGCAATGCCTAATACGCTTTGAAAATGTTGTTGTGGTGTATCTGTTGTTTTTTAGTGTCCGGCTGAGCCCACTGTTCCCTCCCCGGCGAGAGAGATGCCGCTTCTGAAAGACGACACCGAGGGCCTGCGAGAGATTCTGGGTTTGAACCACGGCAATGTGGCAGCCAGCCCGTTGCCCACACTGAGGCCTCTCTTAAGTCCCAGGTGCCGCCAGTCTCTGAGTCTGGCATACAACAACAAAAGCACTGACTCGGATCAGGTCGCCATCACAGAGTCGTCGGGGGAAGATCTCGAGGACGACGACGACGATGATGATGATGACGACAACGACGACGGCGACGATGAAGAATTCGGAGGCGGAGTGGAAATGGCTGCTGTTGATTGGCCGGATCGGTATCCTACTGCGGACGTTTCCGCGCGTGAACTGAGCGAGACGCGTGATGTCTCGACGCTTGGCTCGCCGAGCTCTCGCCGAGAGGGTGATGGTACCAGAGTGGAGGACGGCGGAGGCGACGCTGGCAAACGCGGCCGGGATTCCGCACCGCCCCTTAATACGCTGTCCGGCGAGCGAGCCAGCACCGCCAGCACTGCCGCGACAGCGGAAGGGAAGGAGGCGCTCGCGACGCCGACCTCGACCAACCCGAGCAGCGCCAGCAGCCGACGGAGCAGCACCGAGGAGGGGGAGGAGACGGTGGCGGAGCAGCGCCGCTTGCCACTCTCGCCGCGCTCGCCCGCCAAAGTCCTGGCCAACGCCGCCGGACGGCCGAAACGCGGGGCCCGCGCCGACGACGCCGACGATCGCGTCTCTTGGAGCCTCCCCGACTCGACGGAACTCAACGGGTTTCCCTGCCCTCTCCCCGCGCCCATGGATCGCCCGAGTGAACCCTTCGGTTCTCACGCCAACGGCTATGGCATCATCGAGGAGGAAGTCGAAGAGTTTTTGGAGGGCTGCGGCGGCGACGACAGTTTTGCCGAGGAGTTTGACGTGAAACAGGCTTGCGGCGAACCTCGGCCATTTCCGCCGCACCTCCTGAACCAAAACGGTGGCGGGAACGGGGTGACTTCGACCGAATCGGAATGGTGGCACGATTTCAATGGCGGCGTTGGCAACGGCAACGGCGTCGGCAACGGCGACGGCGTCGGCGGCGGCACGCTCGCGAGAGCGACTTCCCGCGGGCAGACGCTGCAACTGAGCCGAGCCTCTTCGCTCTCCAAGAAGGACAGGCAGCTGATCGAGAAGATCAAGAACTACTACGACCGGGAGGGCTGCGAGGACGCGCAGGGGGGGGCCGCCCCGGTCAAGCGGCGAGAGAGCCTCGCGCACATCCCCCAGGGGAAGGTCCGGAATTCCATCTTCGTGCGGGCCCAGCAGCTGCAGAAAATCAAACGGGGGGAGGAGAACGGCGCCGAGCCGGCACCGGCACCGGCGGGATTGTTCGGCTTCCCCGCCGACGTTCCGGACGAGGGCTCGGGCGCGGCGCCGGGAGGCGCTCGCGCAGCGGGGAAGACTCCGTCGCCGAGCCGCCCCGGGGCGGAGGCGTTCGACGTGTCGGACGTCCAGGCGGTGTACGACAACTGGGTCTGGCCGCCGGGCGGCGTCTACGACAACCTGCTCTGCCTGGGCTCCTCCAGCGCCCTGCCGCCGCTGCCCACCCTGCAGGAGAAGCCCTCCGAGGGGGAGGAAGAGAATGTCTACGGGGAGGTGGACCTGGACGCTGCCTTTCCTCCCGACGCCGCGCAGCACAACGGCGACGCGGCGAGCCCCCGGCGGCGGCCGGCGGCGATAAATCAAGGCGGCGGCGCGCTCCCTCCGTGCGACGGGCACGGGGCCCAGCCGGCCGACTGCAGCAAGAACCTGCATGACCTGTGCGACGACCTGGAGAGCTACTACCGGGACCACGGCAAGGTCGCCTCGGGCCTGGCCGCCTTCCCCGTGGCGGAGCTGGACCTGGAGAGCCCCCCGCGGAGCCTCAGCGCGGGCGACGTCGGCGCGTCGCTCGCGGAGTTGCCGGCCGCCGCCCGCGAGGCGGACGGCGGGGGCGGCGCGTCGTTCGCCAGGCTGTGGCGCAAGAAGCTGGGCCGGTTGAGCGGCTCAGGGGGCGGCGGATCCGGGAAGGGAGCGGCGGGGGAGGCCGGCGGGGGGGCCTCGCGGGGGCCGCTGGGCCGCTCGCTCTGCTCCAGCGAGGAGGCGATCTCCGCGGAGGGGGAGCGGCGGCGCAGCGGCGGGGCCGGCTCGCCGGCGCGGCGTGCGCGGTCCATGTACGACGTGGACAGTCCGCCGACGACGCCGACGACGCCGACGACGCCGACGACGCCGACGGCGGCGAGGTTCCCCGCCGACAAAAGCAAGAGCAGGGTGCGTGGCTCGGCGCGATGCGTACCCCCCTGCCCCCCTCCCCCCGCTCCCCCTCTCCCCCACTTTGCCCCCCCCCCCCCCCCCACAGTGTAACCCGCAGCTCACCCACACTCAGGGGCAGAGTCGACATCTTCGCTGTTCTCCTGCCCCCAGGCCCCCCAGGTGTGTCCTTTGCAAAAGGACACACCTGGGGGGCAGCCCCTGCAATTGCTTTTTCCACGCCACTGCTGGCGGAAGAGCCTCCACTCAGGAAAGTTATCGAGACCCCCCCCCCCCCCACCGAGAGGATATTTTTACTTCCCTTTCCACGGTAGTCGGACATCTCCGAAGGGGTGCGATTACCCACACTTTACCCCCACCACGTGCAATCTGCAGATTGATTAACCGTGCTGCGGCCATTTATAAGCGCTGGGTGGACAGAGAGGCATGAGGCAATGGGGGGGGGGGGGGTGGGGGTGATTTTGTTCTTTGTTTGTTTCAATTTCCGCGCCGGGAGATGGAACCGATCCGGCAACCTCTCACCGGTTCTGTTGCAAGTCCGGAGCGCCAAACCTTTACATTGTCTCGCGCCAAATTTGCCATGATGTACCGAAATAATGAATAAATAAATCACGTGCGCGGTTGCTCGCCTTACGGCGAAGAGGGGCGTTTTAGCGTTGATTGCGTGAAGTTGTGTGGGGGGGGGGGGGTGGTGGGGGGGGGGGGGCGATTGCGGTCGTGCTGCTTCCACCACGATGCTTCGCTCATTTTCGTCTCTCTGCAGTCGCCGAAGCTGCCTCTGTCAGAGGTCCCCCCCCCAACTCCCGGCCCTCCACCCGGCTCGCAATACAAAAAAAACACACGACTGTTGGCCACACCGCAGCCAACCTAAACGTCCGTCCGTGGAGACAGTTTGACGCCGTAATGAGTCGCAGGTGACCGGCGGCTGCCGTGCGATCGGATTGCAAAGCGGACTGCGGAGAAGGCTCCGTGCTCATGATATCAACAAATTATTAGAATTTACTCCGCTCGTGGGGTGCGGAGAGCCGCGACCGCATTCGCCTCGCGCGGCGCAGCCGACGGCTCGGATGCGAACGGCGAGGAGGAAGCCGTTTCGTTCGACGCACCGCGGGGGTGGACGTACCGAGCAAGCGAAACACAGCGAAACACAGCGGGAACTAATTTGGCCCCCGGCTTCCGTGGATTTAAAATTGAATCTCGCTCGACCAACACCCCCTCCGGGGGGGGGGGGGGGGGGGGCTGTCCGCGCGTGTCCGTGGCTCGGCCGCCCGTGTCCGACCGCGCTCCCCTGCGTGGCCGTCTATCTCCGCCGCTGTTTGGCGGCACGTGTCACCGCTTGTCGCTTCTCCCCTGGCGCGAGCGCCTTTCTCTAATGCGGAAGCCGCCGTCTTCCCCGGTCCGCGTCCACGCGTGTTCCCTACGTGGACCGCGTGTGCGTGATTCTCTTGGCTCCCCCCGTGTGTTCGACACAAGCGAGCGAGTACGTGCGTGCGTGCGTGCGCGCGCTCGCTTAACAGCACTCGCCCCAACAGTCTGTTAAAGGCTATACGGGGGGATCTTTGTCTTTGTGTGCGCGCACGTGTGGTGGACGGTAAGTGAGGTGGTTCGCGCGCCGCTGCGCTACGAACACCGCTGACCCGAGTTTGACTCCCGCTCGCAGCAAACATTGGTGATGAGCATATCTGAATCGGTCCTGGGCCCTCCCGTAGCTTTGCTCAGCCGTAAATGAGCACCTGGTGCAGTGTGAAACATCGGTACTGGGATGACAAAGGCAGCCGGACGTGGTGTTGGACACCAGCCCCCTCGTATGCTCTGCCGACCTTCATAGGTGCTCGCTAACAGCACTTGCCCCAAAAGTCTGTTAAGGCTATACGGGGGATCTTTGTTGTTTGTGTTCATATATACACACGGGGGTCATAGTGCACCGTGTGCAGTGCACTATGACCCCTGGATGCCGGAATTAAAATCTCGACCATGGTTAACATCGCATTTTAATTGGACAGTATGTGTCTATACGTATTTATATATAATACTGCAGAGGAGTGGCGGTGCAGTGGTTAGAGCACTGCACTATGAACCCAATGATCCGAGGGTGATTGCCGGCCAGGGCTGACATCAGTGGCGAGTGACATCCTAACCGATCCTGGGCTCCCGCTCCCCTCCCCATCACCAACCCACGCTTGGCCAGAGTGGTGTGAGGTATGATCAGACAGCCCCGATGACGGACACAGTGTGGTTGATACCTTAATCATCCAGTAGTGGATTGAGAATGGGCTGTACGTTATTAACATTATTATGTTCACGTGCAATACTGTTCGCGCCCCGGTATGCCTCGCCGTGCGTGCCCACGTGTGCTGCGTCCGTGCCCGTGCGTGCCCGGGCGCGCGCGTGTGGTGGAGGTGCCAACAATTTATTCTCCCCCCAATTCCCATCCTCAACCCCAGCGACCCGATGCATTGTCACGTTCCAAGGTCACGGGTTCGATTCAAGAATCGATTGGTTATTTCCCATTGCCGTCAATGGTAGCAGCGACTCGTGGGGCTCCGTGCACGTTGAACTTCTCTCGCACCGCACGAAGCCAATCGTGCGAATCGGAGGTGAGCCCATAGCCCGTTACAAACCACGTGGATCCTGCTTACTGAAACGACTCGATGCGTGTGCCGTGAGCGGGAGTAGCGGTTTTTTGTTTCTTTTCGAAGCATTGTTACACTCCGAATCTGTGTCCATGTCCGCTGTGCCGTCATTTTGCGGTGATGATATTGAAATCCTTCCAGGAAACGTTTGAACGTCAAAATAAGTTTTTCAGCCGCGCTGTTGACCAATTCCAGTTTTTTTTTTTAAGTCGTGCGAGAAACGAGAGCGCGGGGGGGGGAGGGAGGGGGGTTGGGGAGAAACCGCACCGATGCATACTCCGAGGAGGTAACGTCCACGCAGGTCCACACAGATGGGAGGCACGGACCCATCGTCCGTGCCTCCCATCTCCGGTCACACCTCGTAGCCCACCGAAGCCCGAGCCTCCGAGGTGCTGGCCAGATGGGGGGAGGGTGGACGAGTGGGGGTGGGGGGGGGGCGGAGGAGGGGGGGGGAGCGGTCGTGGGCGGGGAAGAAAGGTCCATGAAGTGGGTACAATTGTACCTGGGGGGGGTTGGCCATAAATATGACACTGTATTATTATTATTTACTTGGGAAGGCACGGGGGGGACGGAGCCCACAGCCAACTTCTCTCGTCGGGTGTGCCCCGTGCGTGCGTCCCCCTGCTTGCCCGCACGCATTAACGCTCGCTCCTACCCCGTGGGCGCGTGCGTGCCCCCCCCCCTCCCCCGCCGCCCCCCCCCCACCACCTCCACCGCCCCCCGCACAGGTGTACACGCTGGCGCGCGAGTACAGCATGAGGATCAAGCGGACTCGGCCGGTGACGGGCGCCAGGGAGGGCAGCGCCGAGGTGGCCCCGCTGCCCGCCGTGCTCGAGATGAACGCGCACAACAGCGGCACCATAGGCAAGCTCTCGCCGAGGCGATGACGTCGCCGGGCGTTCGTTCGTCGTCGCAATGTGGCTGTCCGTCATCGTCGTCGTCGTCCGTCCATCCGTCCGTCGTCGCAAAGCAATTGTAATCAAAACGGTAGCAATTGTCGTAATCAACAGCGATGGTAATCATCGTCGTTATCACAGAACAATCGTCACCGTTGTCGTAATAATACAGCTATCGCAGCTACCGTCATTGTAATATTCGTTACGTGTCCATCGTCGTCACCGTAATCATAAGCGGATTACGGCTACTGTCATCATTACAGTAAATGTCACTTTCATTATCACACAGTCATCATCACCATCATCAATACCATCATCATTTTCACTGTCCGTATAACACAGTCATCATAATTAGCATGATTGTCATGTTAATGTTAATAAGCATAACACCATCTTTGCGAGAATTTTTTTTTTAATAATCATTATCATAGTTGTCATCGTCGTCGTAACAAATAACCATCAGCGTAACGATACTGTGATCACTTTTATTTTCAGTTTTTGCCTTGCGTCTCGTTTTTCCCCAACGGCAGGCGCCAGGATGGCCGAGCACATGCACACGTACGGCCAGATCATCATCCGCGAGGGCAACGCGCCGCCCATGCCGGCAGACCTCGACCCCCCGCCGCCCACCGCCGCGAGCGGGCGGCGTCGCCTGCCCGGCACGCCCCCCCCAACATCTCCCGCCCGCTCCCCGCTCGGCCGCCCCGACTCGTCTCCCGACCCCAGCGTCTCGTCGCGCGCCGGCTCCCGTTCCCCCTCGTCGGCAACGCCGCCGGGTTCCCCCTCGCGCGGCGCCCGCCCCGGGCTCCCGGCCGACGCGCCGTGCTGGCCCGTCGTGCGGGGCCTGCGCCTGCGCTACCAGGGTGGCGCCGGCGGCAGCGGCGGCGACAGCGATCGAACCCGGGTGGTGTCGCCGGCCAAGTCGACGGGAAACTTGGCGACGGCGCGCGTGAGGTGGCGCGGGGACGCCGGGGGCTCTCCGGCGCCGGAGGGGCACGGACCTTCGGCCGCCCCCCTCCAGAAGCCGCGGATCTGGTCGTGGAACGGCCCCGACGCGGATTGGCTGGCGCCTCCCGGCGACGGCGGCGCGCGGCGGTCGGGTGGGGCGGCGACGGCGGCGTTCGACCGCCGTGCCGCGGCGCCGCTGGGGCCACGCAGGGCCAAGGAGAACTACCATCGCAACTTCGTCGACAATGACGACGACGGCGAGGACTACGTGGAGATCCGATCGCCCGATCTATCGGGGCCCCAGGCCGTCGGCACGGCAGCAGAGACCCCGCGGGCCGCCGAGACCGGCGGGGGGGACGATCGGACACGGAGCGAGGGGCGGAGCGCGGGAGATGGCGGGAGAGGGGCGCCGGCCGTGCCGGGACACAGGGCCCAGGGCTCCTCGGAGCGGAGCCTGGTGCGGAAGCTGAAGGAGAGGTTTCAGCCGCTGAGCTATCAGAGCCACGCGTAACTGGGCACAGATCGGCGCGCGAGCGACGATGTTCGTGCACGCGGGGGGACGAGCTCGCGGCTGAACGGAGGCGGCAGGAACAAACGGTGTGCGCGCGCGCGTTGTTGTTGTTGTCGCTGTAATTTAATTAACTTACAAATGCAACGGGTGCACGCAGTCTTAAAGGGTAAGGGAAATGAAAGCAAATGTCTTAATAAACGTTATAACACCCGTACAAACGCCGGATGCTTTTTGACCTCACGCTAACGGGCGTGGCATTTGGTGAAAGTGTCAAGACGCCGTCGCACAAAATTGAGCCGCCTGGCAAGGTCGCGCGGTTGCCACGAGCGAAGCATGCCATGTGAAGACGAACGAGGGTTACACGTTGGCGGGACCTTGCATTGTAAACGTGCGGTTCTCTGTCCCCGTGAACCCGTCGGCGCTTTTGGTTTGTTTTTTTCCACACGGAGTGGCTTCGCAAAGTTTTCCATCGCAGCGTAGCGGGCTGCGGGGAAGGACTCTGCAGACCTCCGTTGAGCACCGGCACTCGCATGAAATCTGGGTTTTCGAAAATGAGCCAATTTAAAATTCATCATCTCAGCTGGCAGACGGGAAATTAATTTCTAACAGTCTTTGTAATGTTGTTGAATTATGCAATAGTGTACACAAAGGAAAAGAGAGTTCAATTACCAATTGAGAATGTACTGTGTTGTTCCCATTTTTGAAGAGCAATTTTTACGTTGCTGTTATAGCATAATTTGCCTGTGCCTTAATTGAATGCCAAATGCACTTGTGTATGCACGTTAAGTGTACGTGTGTGTGCGCGCGCGAAGAAAACAATATCAGCATGTACGCACACCACACATACACACGCGTAGGAGGAGGAGGAGGGAATTGCATGTTTTCATATCCGATTACCGATTGCGCAGGGCCACGTGAATTAACATCGTCTGCGCCATGAACCCTCGATGTACGTGGGCTGATCACACGCGGCGGGGCGGGAGGGGTACGGGAAAGGTTTTGGGGGGGGGGAGGGGGGGTGGTGATCCGCTAACTCTTGCCTGCCGTTGTTCTCTGTGTCGTCTGTGCACGAACTCTCCGCGTGGGCGGCGCGTCGTTTACCCTCGTAAGTGTGCGGGGCACGAAGCCACGACTTCTGCTTCACCACCCACCCCTGCGCCCACCTGTGTGAGAGTCGTGTGTGTCGGTGTCGGTGTGTGTGTCGGTGTGTGTGTCGGTGTGTGTCGGTGTGTGTGTCTGTGTGTGTGTCGGTGTGTGTGTCGGTGTGCGAGTGTGTGTGTCTGCGCAGGAGTGATAGGGCAGCAGTTAGCGTGCCGCGCTACAAACCCGGCAAGCCGAGTTCGATTCCTTGCACGTGGCCAACACAAAGTGACCCAGTTTCTGAACTGGTCCCGGACCTCCCATAGGTTGACACAGCCTTAAATGAGCACGTGGCACGGTGTGTAAACATCGCCACTCGGGAGGCAGGCGTCCGGGCGTGGTGATGTGGCCACCCACCCCCTCGCGTACCGTGCCGGCTTGCCTAGGTGCTCGCTAACAGCACTTGCCCCTAGAGTCTGTTAAGGCTCTACGGGGGTACTTTGTTTTTGTGCATCCCTGTGCTACCGTTGGGCGAACGACGCAAATGTGACACAGCTTAACACGACGCGCGGGGAATCCCAGACTGAATCGGAATCTTTATTTATACTGGAGGAACCCGATGAGCTATGAAGCTATTTTTCACAGATGCAAAGTTGCAGACACCGTTGTTCAAATATTGTCCCGTGATGCGGCAAGTGGCATCAGAACCTGGCCTGGGCCTCCCCTATTTTATAATAAAATAATCAACTACTTCCAGCCCTTGTTCAGTCCTTGCTTCATCAATAGATCTTTAGTGTGTGTGCGTGTGTTGGGCCACGTACTGGATTTCGACCAAATTTGCGTCGTGAAAACCCTCCACCGAGCGGACGCAGCCGGACAAAAGTGAGATCGCGTCGCGCGGTGTCGCGAGCGTTTTTTTGTTGTTGTTTGCCAACGTGCCCCCCAGCCCGTTTACACTCATCGCCTTGCGGGCAAGTCGAGGAAACGCTTCTTCTCACCCCCGTGTTGGTGGCTGTTTCACCGTACCTGGTCAACCACGACGGTGTCTGTGTGGGGTTGGAGAGAAGTCGGGGCCGGGGGGGGGGGGGGGCAGGGCCGGCGTGGTGGTGGTGGTGGTGGTGGGCAGCGCCGGTTTCGATGTCGGTCGTGGCTTGGGATCGAACTCGGCTTCAGCCGGGTTCGGAGTTGCAGTGCGCTAAGCCGCTGCGTCCAATCCCCTCCCAAAGCCGTCATCTGCACGACAACGAGAGGCCTGGTGGTAGTTTGTTAATGTCGCCACTGGTGAGGAAAAGATGGCACTCTGTTTCTCCTGGTCGATCTGCCTTCCTGGCCCACCCCACCCTGCTAACAGCATTTATTCCACAATTGTTATACGTGGCTGACCTGGGTGTCTGTATAAGTTTATATCTGCGTACGTGTGATGCTCGCTAACGGCACTTGCCCCGACAGTCCAAGTGCAGGCTTACAGGTGGATCTATTTGTCTGTGTGTACCTGTACGTGTGTGTGTGCGCACGTGTGTGTGTGAGAGTGTGTATGTGAGAGCTCGTGTTATTTTCTGAATGCACTTTTCAAACCGGGTAGCTAGCATTTGTAAAAAATAGAATTCTACGGTGTTTTTTTTGGCAAAATGAAGTTGTATTTCACGCTGATGAGCATCAATTCCAAGTCGACCATTCCTTTATTTTTTTATTTTCTAAACAACATTCATTTGCCCGAGGCTGTGCTTTTTTGTTGTTGCTGCTGCTGCTTCTTTCGTGACTGTAAATAATAAACAATGCACAATTCAAGCGAGTGATTGTGTTGATGCGTTTAGGGGGGTTTTTTGGGTATTTTTTTTTTCAAATCGGTTCATTGGCATTGGCTACGAACACCAACGTTTTAACTTCACAATGAGTCGGTGTACAAAATTGCTGTTTGTGTTGAACCAGGGGTCCCATAGCCTAAATGGGAGCACTCTTGCCAAGTACATCTGGTCACGTAGCAGCATTTGTTTAACAAATCTGGCTGCTGATGAGACCCAGAAAGTCAAAACTGGCCCACAGTTTGCTAAGCCAGTATATGCTGTGGACTAAAACACAGAGTTAAATGTGGAGGCACTGATTGAAGTTATTTCACAATTCACCCGCGGGTCGTTTGGCATTTCTGAATATTAATTTGTGTCGCGCTTATGATCCTTGCTGTGCCTGCCCTTCGAGCAGATATTTTTTTCAAACTGCTGGTGGGATGAGAAGGGGTGGAGCGGTTGGTTCGATTGGGTTCACCGTCACCCATCGCTCAGCGATAATAGCCGTGGAAATTTGAGAGAGAGAGAAAAAAAAGAAAGACGAAAATCGGGGAAAGGGGAAAAAACCCACCTGGTTTGTGGTGTATCACTGACCGCCTACGTGCAGGTGCGCGTGCCCATTATGGGAGTCGCGTGAAACACGGAGGCATCAGGTCAGCCTCGGAACTTTAATTTAATTTATTTTTCCGCAAAAATGTCAGAGTTGTCACCGCAAAGTAAGGTTATATAACTACATGCATAAAGGTTCCGTTTGAGGTTAGACGCATGCCGCCCCCAAACCCCCCACAGGCACCCGACGGTTTTTTTTTCCATTTCGCGAACAGAATTTAATGTTTGTTCTGCCGAGATGATCAGTGCCCCTGACTCCGTCGCTCGGAACTATGTGTGCGCGTAACTCTATATATGTACGGTGTATGAAATTACACGGCTCTGGCTTGATGTTTATATCGCAAAGAGGGCAACGAAATATTTAACATTATTATGATTCCATAAGGCGGGTGGGTCGTGGGGTTCATATCGCGGCTGTGCCCAGACAAGCTATTCATCCTTCGGATCTCATAAAGATGACCCGGTTACCACCCTCGCGCGTTAAGTCAACATTTGGCCGAGCTTTGGGATCTAGTGGCACTTGTCTCGTGAAAGAGTGAAATTCTCACCGATGGCTCGACAGTCGGCAATTGTAAATTTAGTTGATTCTTAACAGTTGTTCGAGAGTGAGGGGGGCTCGTTACTATAATTCTCACGACCGTATTCGCGGGTGTATATCACGCGTTCTCTCCGACTACTTTTAATCTAATAACGTCAGGAGTGTGACTTCTAATGTGCGTGACCACGTTTGTATGAATCGCTTCTTTTTAATGGGACACAAGGAATGGGATGCGACTTTTACTTTCCGGAGAGTCTCATAATCCGGAGACTGCGGGTAAAATTTTAAACCGCGGTTGAAAGCCCACTTTACAATTATTGGAGAATGTTGCGAAAGCACCATTTACGCAAATAATGTTTCCTACACGTGTGCGTGGATCGGTGTTGTGTCACCGCTGTGTAATCTAATGAATAGAGATGAGCACGACTGAATGAATGATGTATATTCTAATGATGTTCTTCTTTAATGGCTGCAGAGCTGACATTTGGCACAGACAACGTCAAGCCGATGCTTTTTAACCGGAGCAACAAAAACAACAACAACAAATCTGAAATGCACCATTTTCGAATTTAGGCACCAACCAAAATCTACGGCCCCTGAACGCCATAGCGAGGCCCTCAATCCTGCGGTGCTGTTTTTAATGGGGTTAATAAGACCCCCGCCCCACACACCACCCGGCCACTAGAGGCCGCTAGATTCACCATAATGTAAACATATAATGGCATCGCGAACTGGAATTGCGGTAATTCTAATGAACCGTCAAGGACATTCATTGTTACACCCCTTACAACTGATATCGCAGCAGCAGTGGACGTTCACTGGGCCCCATACTATGAACCGCCGCCAACCCGAGTTTGATTCCAGGCCCACGGTATTGAGGTCCCCACCACGACTCCTCCACCTCGCCACCACTTCGCCAACCCGCACTGAACCGGCGGCGAAGTACGGTCAAACAAACCCAGCACGATCCACCCGCAAACGACATTACGTTATGTAAATGTATCGCCGTATTTATAGTGGCCATTAATGCAATTCGGTTGTTCGCACAAATTGTGCGGCGCAGACGGAGTGCGACTGGGACGCTAATTAAATCCACGTGTGCCATAAAAAAAACACCGCGTGCGCAGCCCATCACAGCAACCAACACCCCCGTCTCTAAGTCCACGTGGCATTCATTTCACCTCCTCCCCTCGCCCAGCTTCTCCCCCCCCAACCCCGTGAAGTTCAATTCGTGCTCACCGAAACCCACGATGCCGGTGCTTCTCCTTAACCTGGGGTGCACGCGAACCATTTGGGAGTGCGGCACGTGGCCAGATTTCTTTAGAAATAAATCGCCGAAACGACAAATGGAAGCACACGGGCACGTAAGCACAAACTAACTTTGTTTCATCAAACCCAATGTGTGCATTAACACTGCACACGTTTTAACGATTGGAAACCCAAGGGGTGCAAGGCTGCAAGTAAAAGGTTCAGAACCACCGGCTTGTGCGATGAATTTCATCGTTCAGACCTCGGAAGCTCACAGCGGGATTTTGAGCCTGGCCCAAAGTTTGGATGGGTGACCATCGCGACGGGTCAACGCCAGAGGCGCCATAGACGACGGAAACGGGAGAGGACGGTGCACGAAAAAAACAATTGTTCTGCATCCGTCTTCCTCTTCCTGCCCCCCCCCCCCCCAGAACCTACCTTTATCAACCAGCGCTGACAAGCGGGTGGTGAAGTATGGGCAAATTGCCCCCACGAAGCACGCGATGTGTGCGGAGGTCCCCATCCAGCAGTCCACTAACAAAAGGGATGTCTGTCCATGTTCTCATTCGGCATACTACACAAAAAAACACATACAATCAAGGTGTACCACGTGCCTGTAATTCGTGGTATCGCCATCAGTCATGGTTTGTCCACCGCTGATGAAGGCCCTTCCCCCCCCCCCCCAAACCCCCCCCCCCCCAAAAAGTTTCCATCTCTCACTTTCCTGCGATGCAACGATGCACACATCATCACGTGCACGCGACGTCGCGGCATTGCCCCATCTCCTCGGTGGCCGTTGCCTCGGACGCGTTTAATCCCTCGGATGACATTCCGTCACTGTTCTCATCCCACGGCCCATCAATCATCCCGTCATGCGGTATGACCTGGGTAGTAATGGAGGGTTTTTTTGGTGTGGGGGGGGGGTTAGATCGCGTAAATGTATAAATGTGTCGTTAAACCCGCCAACCACCCGACACAGCCAATTATTAGTAAGGTTTGTCACGTGCACAGAACGTGCCAATTCGTTACTAGTACAGCACATCGGTGTGTTGGAGAGTAAGCCCACAACACTTTGAAGATGTAGATGTTGTGGGTTTACTCTCCAACACACCCAAAAAAACCTCTATTATGGACAATATCGGTCTCGAAAGTCTATGTGTTAAACTGACCTGGGTAGTGATAGCAGTTAGTGGCAGCTGTATTCAGTGCCATGCGGGGGGGAGGTGCGAGCCCCTGGGAAAATCACGTGTGCCCCCCACCCCACCGACACCTTCAACCTAAACCAGAAATATGACATCTGACACCGTGACGTGGAATCGCGGGGCCTCCCAAAGCGCGGAGCCCGGGGCGGTCCATCCGATTTTGTCGTACCCTCTTGATGGCCTTGGCTGTATTTACTTCACCCCTCCACCCACCCCCCCAGCCTCACCCCGTAACCCTTCACCAACTCACGCAGCTCAGCAGCAGCGTGGATGAAGTGAGATGTCAACAAACATCCACTGCCAACGCGGCGTGGAGAGCGGATTGAGACATGGATGCATCTCATATGACGTATTCGCTATGAAGAAGGGTCATTGCCCGAAACGTCACCGGTTACATCTGTTTATTCCCCCCCCCCCCCGCCTTTAAAGCCACCACAAGTGTTGATGACGCACGTGTTGGGTTTGTTTTATTTTCGTTGTCCTGTGAATTTTGCACCGCCGCCAACTCAGCAGCAGCAGCAGCAACCAAAGGTAATGCAAAGGCACGCTAGAGCGTACGTCTAAGAAGAGGAACAGGAGCTGATTGTATGTTGTGTTTCACTTAGGGGGCGTCCATAAATTACGTCACGCGATTTTGGACGATTTTTGACCCCCCCCCCCTTCGTCACACGGCGTCACAAAAAGTCAGACCCCCCCCCCCCTCAAATATGACGTCACAAAGCTCTGCCCCCCCTCCCCCCCCCCCCCAAAAAAAAACATGCTTCAAATTGCTTTAAACTATTGTCATTGAAGTGCGTATTTAATGTGGCGCTGCACTCTGATGTTGTAGTAGAAAACATTTATGAAAAAGTCAATTGAATTAAGTAGAACGTGTTGTCTATAATGATTTAAAGTTGCGCATTTTTGATGTGACGTCACATTTCTCAACCCCCCCCCCTCCCCTCGTCACACATCGTCACAAATGTCTGACCCCCCCCGCCCGCCCCCCCCCCCCCTGGTGCGTGACGTCATTTATGGACGGCCCCTTTCCCGCACTGACCAAAGTGGGGAAGTATGCTTAAAATAACGGTCGCAATGGTGCAGTGGAAACATTTGCCGTTGCGCGTTCCCCAACGTCGTTGGCGTACGCTGAAGGTCAAATGTATCCTGCAGTGCACTTCGATTAATTAGTGCGATAGGGCCAACGGAGGGGCGCCTACGAAGGAGATGGAGCGACGAATGTCATCTCTCGTGCAGATGCTGGTGGACAGCTTAAGGAGGCATTCGTCCAGCAGTGGATTCGCCGTGGCTGATGGCGAACACCGCGGCTGACTCGCACGTGAACGCGGCGCGTGTATGTGTATAGTAAATCGCATTGGGGAGCGGTGGTGCAGCGGTTAGCGCGCGCGCTGCGCTACGAACCAGGCAACGCGAATTCGATTCCCGCGCGCGGACAACACCAACGCCAATTATCTGAAACGCTATTGGGCCTCCCGTAGGTCGGCTCAGCCTTAAATGGGTACCTGGTGCGGTGTGTAATCATCGCTATTGGAGAGACCACCCACCACCTCGTGTACCGTTCCGGCCTTCATCGGTGCTCGCTAACAGCACTTGCCCCTACAGTCTGTTAAATGCTATAGGGGGGTCTTTGTCTTATAGTCAAGTGCACGCCACTCCATGGATGTATTCATTATGCATGCTCTCGTCCGCTGAATAAATAATTGAGCGTGCGTATCGGGGCACTATCTAAACGCATGTCAATTCATATAGTTTAGGACAATGTGATGAAATTCGTCTTATCTGATGTTTGGCTCGAGGGGACAATAGCCATCGTTTAGGCTCCACCCAGCCTCTCTCCCGCCACCTCCCATCCTCCTGCCATCCTCCTGCTCCTCCCCACCACCACCTCTGAGAATCCACTCCCTCTGATCCCCCACCCCTCCTCCCACCTCCCTGCTCCCCCAGCGCCTCCCCCCACCACCATCATCCTGCCAATCCTGGGGGCTGCATGAAACAAACTCTGGGAGCCCGCATCGCTCGCGCGCATTTGGGGATGGAGTTTGGTTGTCGGAGCCGTCACGGTGTGTCCAGGTCTCTAGCGCAACCAGCGCCGATAACCCCACACGCGCACACGGGCGCTAGCGCCGCACGCTTCGATCAGCGAACGCCACCGGTTAAATATTCTACGACGAATTCGGCGATAATTGAGATACGGGTGCGTGCGATTATATCATTTGTACGGGACGGAGGCTAAACGCAGTTCTGCGCTGGCGCGTAAGAGACGGCGAGACGGATGAGAGAACCTCGCCTAAGAATCGGCATTGTGAGCCAAATCGCGGGTCGTGATTAATGACGATTGGTAGCAAATACAACAATCGTGGGGTCATGTGAGCGGGCTGCAACGTTGGCTGGCTTGGCTGGGCTGTCGATCGCATCGCCAATCAGTCGGGACGGACACGGCGCGCTCTCTGGCCGTTGTGATATCGAACAGAAGCAGATTTCCCAACTTGGCCTCCAAGCGTTAATTAGCAGGTTATTTATCGTCGCAATTTTGTGCGCGCGCGCGTGTGCGCGCGTGCGTTTATGTGCGTGTGTATCTTTGCTGTGTATGCGAGTGGGGAGCGGTAGCGTAGAGGTTCGCGCGCGCACTGCGCTGTGAACCCGGCGATTCAGCCTTAAATGGGTACCTGACGCGGTGTGTAGACATCGCCACTGGGGAGACAAAGGCGGCCGGGCGTGGTGCTGTCCACACCCCCACCCCTTGTGTGCCATGTCGGCCTTCATAGGTGCTCGCTAACAGCACTTGCCCAACAGTCCGTCAAAGCTAAACGGGTGATCTTTGTCTATTCGTGTGTGCATGTGTTGCGTGCGTGTTGTGTTATCCGTTGTGCGTGTGTGTTGTGTGTATCTGCTGTGTGTGTATCTGCTGTGTATCTGCTGTGTGTGTATCTGCTGTGTATCTGCTGTGTGTGTATCTGCTGTGTATCTGCTGTGTGTGTGCGTGTGTACCATTCGCAGCTCTCAATTCGTGGCCTCCGACAACGCCGTAACGGTTCGAGTGCAGTCAAGGGATCGTCCGCATCTCGCGAGGGTCGAGTTTGAGTGAAGCCATCATCATAATCATCACCATCAGCGTCATAATCATCACCATCATCATCGTAAAGGGCAGCTTCTGACGTCGATCTCTACACGCGGGCATTTAAACGTGGACCGCTGCTCACAGACACGTGACTAAACTTAATCTCTTACCTTTATCGGTTTGTCTTCTAAGCTAAAAGAACCAGATATTATTTGAAGCCAGGTATTGTTTGACACAGACACACGTATAGAAAATACGTGCAACAAAACTGGGCTTGGGATAATCAGGGATATATGTGTGTGTGTGTACTGTGTGGCTGGATAACTGCGGGGAGAGACACTCGAGAGAATTTGCGTTAAATCTGAGCACGGTTATTATTTAAGCCGAGAGCTTTCGCGCGTGGCGTACACACACACACACACACGCCGCTACACAACACTGCCACGCAGACAAAGACACCGACAACACAGCCTCGACACACCGCGACCGACACGCTATCTAGTGAGACAGGAGAGAGAGAGACAGAGAGAGACGGCTAAGAGAGGGAGAGATTGAGAGAGGGAGGGAGGTGGAGAGAGAGAGAGACGGACAGAGAAGGAACCTCCATCGCCACCACAAGCCTCGCGGCGCGCTTCTCGTTCACACGTACCGCGCACAGCGCACACGAGCACAGTCTATCGTAGCGAGGTAGGAGGGGAGAGTGCGAGAGAGAGGGGGGAGCTGAGAGAGCTGAGAGAGAGGAGAGAGAGGGAGGGAGGGTAGGAGAAAGGCACCAACAGCGACAGCAGCAGCAGCAGCAGCTCGCGCGCGTGCGCATCCCCATTCACTCCGCTCGCACCGCGCCACGCACAACACCCCGACAATGAACTTCTTCCGTCTCTTCGAGAGGAAGAAAATGAGCTGCCCGGTGGCGACGCCTGCCAAGGGCAAAGCGACGGCCAAGGGAGGAGCCCCCAAGGCCCCCGAGCCGCGGAACAAGGAGCCGGTCAAGGAGACGGCGCTTTCGCTCCCGACGCCTCCTCCACCACCGCCGCGCAGGCTGAGCGAGGACGAGCGACGTATCGTGTGCGAGTCGTGGAGAGCCTTGCAAGACGACATCACTCGGGTCGGGGTCATCCTGTTCGTAAGGTGCGAGTCGCGGCGAGAACTCTCCTCCCTCGTTCGCAAATCCCCGTGCTGCCAGACCGAATGCTTTGCGCAGTCGTGACCCGACTTCGTTTTTGCCCACCCTCCCCAACCCTCACACCTCTAACCCCAGGTCGACTCAGCCTCAAATGAGTACCTGGTGCGGTGTGAAGGAGACAAAGGCGGCCGGGCGTGGTTGTTGCCCACCCCCCCCCCCCCCACCATGTGCCGATCCGGTTTTCAGAGGTGCTCGTTAACAGCACTTGCCCCAACACGTCTGTTGAGGCTACACGGGGGATCTTTATCTTTATATAAATAGCTCTCCCATGTGTTGTTATCGGTCGTTACCGTGTCTCGTTCGGCGTGATGTCAATCGCACGCGCACAGCAGCGGGGAACAAAGATAAGTGACAGATACGAGAGGGATGATGAAGGAGGTGGGACAGCTCCCTCCGATACGTTCACGGGTCATGCAGCGTGGCTGTTCGCAGTAAACGGTCCGACGTTTCGCTCCACGCGCTGAACAACAACAATTAATTGAGTTTCGTGAAAGAAGCTGCTCGGCACGTGGCGCGAAACGTCGGACATCGGCAAAGACAAGGAACCGAACTGAGTCGCCGAAGAAGCTCACGTCCAGCGCGCGGAGCGAAACGTCGGACAACACGCTGAGAATCAACAACAACGGAGAAGTCTACCCGTAACTCATATCTCTTATCTCCATCTTCCTTATCTACGCTTCCTCTGCACGCGCGCGTGCGTGTGTGTGTGTCTGTGTGTGTGTGTCTGTGTGTGTTTTTGTGTGTGTCTGTGTCTGTGTATTTATAGTGTGGGGAGCGGTAGTGTAGCGCTTAGCGCTACGTTGCGCTACGAACCTGGCGACCCGGGTTCGAATCCTGCTCACGGCCAACACAAAGTGACGATTATCTGAACCGGTCCCTGGGCCTCCCCTAGGTCGACTCAGCCTCAAATCAATACCTGGTGCCGTGTGTAAACATCGCCACTGGGGAGACAAAAGCGGCCGGGCGTGGTGATGTCCATCCACCTTCTTGTGTGCCGTGCCGGCCTTCATAGGTGCTCGCTAACAGCACTTGCCCCAACAGTCTGTTACAGGTTATACGGGGGATCTTTTTTCTCTTTTGTTTTTGTTGTGTTAGGGGGGGTGAAGGGGGGGGATAGAGCTGTGACGCACTGCGTGACGAGGTCAGCCGCGTGGGTTCAATTCTCAACTCCGGGGCATCTCGTGAATTTGAACCTATTTTGTCTGGGTCACCTGTAGGTCGACTCAGCTTTAAATAAACGCCTGGCCACGCCGTGCATGAACATCGACATCGATTCTTGGTTCTTTCGGTAAAGTCACGTAGAAGGGTATAATAAAATAATAACAAATATTGTTTCCCTTCTACGTGACTTACCGAAAAACCAAGAATATGAATCCCTGCAGTCACGAAAGCTTTAAATCAAAATCGACATCGATATTGGGAAGGACCCATTTCGGCCGACGAGTGTCGCTGGCTTACACACCCACGCCACGAACGTAGGCCTACTCTTCCGACCTTAATAGATGCTCGCTAACAACAACAACAACACGAGCCCCCAGACAGCCCGTATGGTCGTTGGAGTTGTCTCGGTTTGCTTTTTTTGGCAGCTGCACGTCGTTAATAGACGCGCGCTGGCTTACAGCGCGAAAACCTCCCAAGGGTATCCAAGACGCTCGGCTAGGAGGGGGACGAATGGTTTTTTTTGTGACTTTGCGTGCGCGCGTCTTCTCCCTGATCTCTGCAGGGAGCCCAGGCAGCGTGGGTGGTTTAGCAGCCGATTGGGGCTGACGAGGGCCGGCAGACCTAAGTTCGATTCGCGGTCAACGGTTTTTTCAATTGGCAACCGGTGGCGATGCTAATTTCACCCCGCGCACCCCGATCACGAGCCTCGCCTTTTAACGAGTTGGTTGGTGCCTGTTGCTGTAGTGTGTTAACGCCAGCGCTGGGGGGGGGGGGGGGGCGGAAGACAAAGGCGGCCGGGCGTGGCAATAACCGCGCAAATCCACCCAGCAACCCGCCTTATGCGGCCGTGCCGGCCTTCATAGGTGCTCGCTACTAACAGCACTTGCCCCAACAGTCTGTTCAGGCTATACGGGGGGGGGGGGGGGACCTTGTCTTTGTGTCTAAGCCACTCACTCAAACCGCACCTCCGCGATGAGCACGGTTGGCAACGTACGGTGCGAAAAAAGTTCAACCTACACAAATAAATACAAACCCAGGCACGACAGCAAATATCCTTGAACCCATCTGTAAGGCGCGAGTCTCCTTACACGCAGCTTGTTTTGTCAATCCACTGCTGGATGAGGCCCTCCCCCACGCCTTGTGGGCCGCGAGAGATGTTTATTTTATGTATTTATCTATCATACTTCACCACGCTGGTCAGTGCAGGTCGAGGCCTTTATCCAGCAGCGGAGAGATCATGGCTGATGATAAACGGATGACACAGCAGGGCACGTTTGAATGCGGTATACTTGCAGTATCTGCTGTGCTTAATTAAGTACCGAACGTGTACAACCCCTGCTAAATCCACTGCTGGATGAAGGCCAAGCCGTGCGCTTAAAGAGGATGGGGAGGGTTGGGGGTCATTTGACCATACTTCACCCCCCAACCCAAGGCTTTTGTTTTACCGCAACGTAGCGCTGACGTTCGCCGTCTCACATTCGTAACAACAACAAAAAAAACCCTTTCCTGCACGGTGTCCAGGCCGAAGCAGAGCCTGCTTTTTGGACCTCACGTGCTTTGTGCGTGAACTCGACTCGGGGAGTTCACGCGCCTCCTCCTCTTTCTCTCTCTCTCTGTGTTGCATACGGACCACGTTCTTGATTGTCTCCAATAGGAGGGGGGAGTCGTTTCGCCAGATTGAATCAAAGTGCTAATTTGCACTCTCCACGTCGGCGGTGACGTCGCCCTCTTTATCAGCACGAGACGGAGTCACGGCGTTTGTAGGAGCCGCACTGCGCGGGATTTTATCTTGTGAGTGCATCGGATAGGAAGGCGAAAGAGAGCGGTCAATTTAAACCTCATTGTCATAAATGTGGGTGTTTGGGCGCGCGCGTGCGCGCGCGCAAGACCAAGACAAGACAAAGATCCCCCGTATAGCCGACAAGGGGATGTTGGGCAAGTGCTGTTGGTGGCCTCCTCTGTCTCCACGGTGCCGATGTTTACACTTTGTACCGCCTTTCCAATTTTAAGTCTGAGTCGACCTAGGGGAGGCCCACGTATGAAGGGCTAGCACGGAAAACGAGGATTTAGGGGGGCAGCACCACGCCTCGCCGCCACTGTCTCCGTCGTGGAGATGTGTACACATCGCATGAGGTACTCACCTCAAGGCTGAGTCGACCTAGGGGAAGCCCAGGACTGGTTCAGGTAATCGTCAGTGGGGTTGGTGGCCTTGAACGGGAATCAAACTCGGGTCGCCGAGTTCGTAGCACAGTGCGTTATCGACCGCACAAACAACTGGCACGCGTGAACACAGCAGATACGTGACATGCGCTTGCACACAGCACCCACACGCACACAAAGATCCCCCCGTATAGCCTTTAATAGACTGTTGGGGCAAGTGCTGTTGGCGAGCGCCTAATGAGGCCAGAACGGCACACGAGGGGGCTGGTGGTGGCCAGCGCCGCGCGCGCCAACGCGCGCACCGTGACGATGGATGAAAGGTGAAGGCGCATCCCTGCAATTGCCCACTCGCGTCACTGCCGGCGGACGGACCTCCGCTAGAGAGAGCTCGGTAGCGCTCGAGTCGTGACAGCTCCCCCAAGGGCAGGGGTTGGTAACCTGCGGCGCCGAAGCCGCGCGCGGCTCTTGAAGGACTCGCTGACTTCGTGACGATGTTCATCAAGCACCACGCCCCTCCTCGTGCTCACGTTGCATTGCGGCTCTTGTAATACGGAATCTTTTCATTGTACCGAATTCGAAAAAACAATGTCTCTCTTTGTTGCTTGCCGAGCCTTGCCCTGGTGGGGGGGGGAGGGCGGGGGGGTTATATCATCCGACTCTTCCGCACAGGAAGAGACGCCGTCTTATTTGCAAGCACAATTTAACTAAGAACAAAAACAACCCAATGCAGTCGTCAATAATACTGTGGCCTTACAAGGGAAAAATATAATCGACGACTTTTCATTGATTTGCCGTTTAGAAGAGTCATTGCCCGAAACGTCGCCTGTTTTATATGTTTTTTTTTCTTCTCAAGGCCGCAGTGGTAGCCAACCGATTGGCACGGTTTGGTGCGAAATATGCATCAACATCCATACAAGAGGTGGACTCGTTCACCTCAGACCCGCCGCTCGATTAAGCGTGGCGTGAAAACCCCGTGGGTGAACATTGAGCGCGTGTGGAACCCTTTTCACTTACCGAGGGTCGTGTATGGGAACTTACAAACACCTTCGGTGGGGGGGGGAGGGAACATCGCACGTGGACACTCTCACGCTCGGTAACGTTGCGGCAACGTTGGGTGTCCATCAATGTGAATGGTGCCCCCCCTACCCCCCCCCCTTTTTATTGTCGTGGCAGAAAGTGGCTAAGCGAGATTTAAAAACAAAATTGAGACGCGGAATTTGTTGCCGGGGCGAATAATAGCCCCCCTCCCCGCGGGCCCCCCGATTAGTGTGGCTCACGATGATAGCAGTGGCGGAGCCGTTTACGAAGTGGCAGGGGCCTCGCGTGTCACCGCCCCGTGGCTTCCCCGTCTAAATATAGCTCCAGTTACCACTTCCCAAGTGATTGCCGTTTTTACGGCACATTTCCTAAGTGACGGTGATTTCGGCGACCGTTTTGGTAATAGCGGCCGTGGTGGTGGTGGTGCTGTTTATGGTGATAACTGTAGTGTTGGTGATGGTTTCATTACTGATGATTGTGGCGTTCATAATAGTGGTGATGGTTGTGATTTTACGAGTGATGATGCTGCTGCTGCTGGTAATGTTACGAAGTTAATTTGTTCACCCGAGTGAGATAGGACTCTAGA